TTTTTTTTGGTAAAACCGCACTGATTAGTTTGGTTGCTATTCTCTTTTTCAAAATGTCTGTTCAAGTCAATTGAAATATTTCTTAATTCTTTTTTTAAAATAGGCAATGGGAAGTATTCTTAATTAGTACTTTTTTTTTAAGTTACCCCCAGTAGAACAAACTTTGAAAATACCTTTTTTAAAGGTTGGATTCCATAATCAAAAATTTTTAATTTTAAATTAAACATCTTAAATTTAAATCTTAAATCGAGTGAGAAAAGATTTTCAAAAGAAAAATATCTCTTTTTATATAATTCATTATTATCAAATATATCAAAAAAATAAACTTTGAAAATTTCATTATTTACAAATTTAGGCAATTAGGTAAATGGAGTTTTAATTTAATCAAAGTTAATTTTAGTTGGAAAATGAAATATAACATGCACATGCTAAAGCTCTGAAATGAATCAGCGAGCCAATGGTTTTGAGACTTCTGTACTCTTACTACTATTCAGCTAAGATTTTATGCATGAATATAAAAAATTAAGTATATTTTTTAAAAAATAATAATAACTTTTTAAAGTAATTTCAGAGCTTTTATTTTGAAATCAAAATCAAGGAGAGTCAAACTACTAACCTCCTTGTGTGAAATAAATCTTTTCTTCTACCAAACAAAAAAGAGAAATAAAAAGGAAAAGGCCTTGTCGAGGTCAATCTGCTCAAGTACGCAAACATATACAGCTGCAAATTACAGTGTTGAAAGGTAGAGGAGAAGACTAGAGAGAGGTTTTACCAGTGTTGCTGATTCCGTTCCGCATCGGTTGATATTATCCATACATATTGATATTTTTATGAACCTAAAATAATATAAAATTAAATTTTATTTTAATAAAAATTTTGATGTATTGAATGATATTTTCACATACCGACCACTACACGGAAAATGGAGCGGTATCAATCAATTCAAAGTTAAAAAAGGTAAATTTCATTTTTGATCCTCAACTTTAATATTTTACTTAATTTTTATCTTTTAACTTTTTTATGTAGTTTTTTAGTCCATCAACTATGAAAAATGCATTTTTTTAGTCCTTATATCAATTATTCCATTAAATTTGTTTAAATATGTATAAATTTAGTCCCTTAATTTAAAATGGAGGTACAAAAAATATACATATATTAAAAATTAAGGGATTAAAAATATGTATTTTTAGTTCATTTTGATAATTTCATATTTAAACTTCTAATTCTCAGTGCTTAGCGGTTACTGCTCTCTCTTCTTAGTAATATTTTGGTCTATCTTTTACATTCTTATTGTACTTAAAAGACATGATTTCTTCCCTTGTGAAAGTATTTTGTATTACGAATTATATGATAGTAAACTTAAAACAATGTTATGCTTTCTAATATTACCTTAATGTTCAAAAAAAAAAATTATGGATGTTTTATAAAGTTAATCATTTTAAACTTGTTTTCAATTTATAAGAATATAATAGTTTTAAACATTAGTTTCTCTTATCATTATTTTAAAATTGGATATTTAATTTATAAAAATACATATTTATAACGATAAATTTGAAACGATAGTGAAAAATTCCAATATTCGATACGTATATATCATTTAATCAGGATCTAATGTGGTGTTTAAATATTGAGGGATTAGTACCAAAAAAAGAATTAAAAATATGCATTAATTTTCAAAGTTGAAAAAACAAAAAAAAAATTGAAAAACAAAAACTTTGCAAAACCCTAAAGTTGAGGGACTAAAATTGGCATTTAACCAAGAGATGTGGATAAAGAGAGAGAGAGAGAGAGAGAGATAGAAAACTATGTTGTCTCTAATTTTGCAATTCAAAATATGGATTATATTGAAAATAATAAGCTAAATATAAGTTGAACAAAGTATTAAACTAATTATTTTAATAGATTAGTATTTGTCAACTAAACCTCTAAAAAAATAAAAGGACAAACACCTCAATATTACGTTATTTTATTAAAAAATACTAAAAAATACCAAAATAAATTCACTTATGTTTTAACAATGGGAAATGTTTGGTACACCCTCAGTTCAATATCGGTTTAACACCCTTCAATTTAGTCATTAAAAATATAAAATAAATACAGTCAATTCAGTCGGTTCATGTATCCTGTGTGCATGATTGTATCATTATACTTGTCTATTTTTAATTTTAAACTAAAAAATAGTAATTTTTAATGATTAAACCAGAAAGTGTTGAACCAGGTGTTAAAATATAAGGTATATCAATCATTGTCCTTTAACAATAGATTATTTTAGTTTTTGTCAAATGAAAATTTATTAAAATGATGTTCTTTGAGGGTTTTTTCCCTAATTTTTTTAAAAATTCAGTTGATAAACACTTTTTTCTTATTTTATTCATATAAATCATACATATTATATATTATACAAACCATGAATTTAGAGGATGCTACATATAGAAGGGAAATGATATGTATGTGTGTGTATATATATATTTCATATCAGAATAATAAATGGTATATATATCGTTGAGGTGGCACTATTCACACCTTATAGTTCAATAGACCTTGACTTTTTATCTAATCTAAATCGAGCTTTTTTTTATCAAAATAAAAAATAAATCATGTACTTCTTGAATCACACATTTAATTCCATATTCAAATTACTCATAAAAAAATTCAATATTCAAATTTCCCAACCCTCATCAATCAAGCACCAAAACTCAAATAAAAAAAAGTTGGAGTAAAAAACACCAATTTCACCCAAAAAGAAAAGAAAAAACACCAATCAAAATTAACATAGTTGAAACATACAATCCAAGTAATTTAATAGTAACTTTTTTTATTAAAAATAAAAAATTTTGAATTTGAATTACATAATATAGTATGAAATGAGTTAAAAATAAAAAAAATTATGTTTTATTGTATAATTTAAAATAAAAAAATTAACACAATTTAACATGATAATTAAGTGGCTATACTACATTTACAATGACTATAGAATTGTAAACTTACAATCATAATATATTATTAAACAAATGAATATATAAAATATTACAAGTATACTTATAAATGAAAATATCTAATCAATTATTTAATAATATATAATATTATAAATCTATAATATCGTGCGAACAATATAATTATATCATTTTCAATAATTAAGTAATACATAGATAATGCTTGCTACTCTCATGCGATTAGGAGGAAATTAATATTAATAGTAACGTTGATGAGACCCGTAGGTAGGTCACCGCAGCAAGCAACAATCCGTTTTGGTTTACATAAAACCAAAAGCGAAATTACTGCCTCAGATGCCGACATCATGCACGTAAAATAGGTAAATGTTATTGAAATAATTATTTTTTTTTATAATTTGATGTATTATTAAATGATTGGTTATTTTAATTTATATAAAACTGATGATATTAAATGCATTCACTCATTTAATAGTAAGTAAAAATTATATAAATAAAATAAAATAAAATAATTATCCATATAACACTACCTTTAAAATATGTAATGCTAAGAATCTGGATTGGTTCCCTCATTGCCTCTGTTTCCAGCAATTACTCATCTAACTTGTTCCCACATTGCTTGATCACCTATGACATTAATTACCCTTAATGTTAATAATATTTTTGAGCTACATACATTGCAAAAAAAAAAAAACACAGAGAACATGGCATCTCTTAATTAGACCTCATTCCTCGTGAAATGAAAGGGATCTCCGCATCTTCATTTATTTTAAAAAATAACCACAAATCATTTATATAGGTAGGAGATGAGAAGATTAACTCACCAACGTCTTTGGGTTAAAAGAAATGGCGTGGAAAATAGAGTTTTATAATTTATTAAATTATAATGTTTTTAAATATTATAATTTGATTGATTAAAAAAAAATTTTATTTTCCTCAAACTAAATATTTTATATGCTCCATTTAGTTGGGTTCAGTATTTTTATTTTCTATTAAAAACACAATCACACCATAACTTAACAATTTTTTACTTTTTATTAATCAAATTCTATTTTTCTTGAAAATTTTTTATTTTATAATTTAAATTATTTTATTTTATTAAATAAAAAATAACTTTTAATACCAAAAATAATTTTAATTTAATAATTTAAATTATATAATTTAAATTACACAATATTTTTTTATTTTATTTATAAAAAAACTATTGTAGTATTAGCACATTGGAATAATACATTAACTACAAAGGGCATGTTTCATGCCTAACTACAAGGGTACAACTGTACAAGGAGAGCGGGGTGTAATATGACTTTTCAACGGTTGGTGTACCAGGTGGGAGATAACGGCGGAGATGACGTAAGGACTTATTTATTATTGGATGTAAAGATTCAGGACCATTTTGTAAACGCCTTAAAAAAATATTAACCAAATTTTATTTTTTTACTCATTTATTTTCTTGCCAACAACTTCCTGC